AGGAAAATACAATATCAAAACTGTTATCTCAGTCATCATTTTCAGTATTTGTGTTTTTCCAACTGACCATAGCAACTGACCATTATTTTGTTATTGAAATGAAAAACCGTACGAGTCAGGCAGGCACCACTGAACATGCTTAGGAACCATCTATTTTTTGAGTAAAATAAAGTTTAATAAGATTATTAACATTTTAAAATTAAAAAATCTTTTGACAGGTCGATTTAAGACCTCACGTTTAAGGACCGCCATCTGCTGAATATTAAAATATTCTTCATTGGCTAAAATTAATAGTACTGTAATGCGAGCTATTTTTGAAACTAAACACTTAGATATTTTGAACGGGGACTGTTCGTGTTGAGCCTATTAAAACAGTTTATTTGCAAAAAACATTTATTTATAATTTTTTAAAGTATTCTCCACAATCAATGACCATTATTTCTACATTTTGGATATTTAAATACTCATTTGTTTGAGCAGCAGTGTAAGGCTGAGCGTTATCTTGATGCAAGATTATCGTTCCTCTTTGAACTTTTTGGAGAACCTGAGGCACACAAACTGTAGTGTACAATTAATGTTGATGTTAGTTGTTAAAAAGCACAATTTTGTTCATCCGCCAAACTTTTAGTTATACAAGAACTTCTGGCGAAGAATTTTTATTCCTCTACTACACGAAAGTTACAAATTGCTATTACATAACATATATTAAAGTTTTTTAATTCAAGAAGAAAGCACAATTTTCAAAACCGCCTGTATATAAGATGAAAAGTGAGTTTTGTTTTCAAAAAAGAAGACTAATTAAACCATTTAATGGAATTCAGCTGATATTCTATACCCAAGAGGGACATTTTTTAATCAAATATGAAGCGACCAAGAAAGAAAATCTATTAGAACCGGTATATTTGGATGACGCTTGGATTTTTAACAAAGCCGGGGATTATAGTAGTAAAGTGACTTCTTGCAAGAAGACTTGATCCCGAGCAAGCTTTATTATTATTATCTATGCAGGAAATATTGACGGAAATCCAGAAAAACGCTTCGATGATTTCAAAGAAAATCAAAGGGAATTTTAAAACTGGATTCTAGACTCAACTAGTTAGTTTAGAATGGCTAAAAGCTTAATTAATTTTCACATTATATGTTTTAGTATTTTACAAAAGCGTAGAAGGGTCACAAAATATCTCTTTTTATTTTTTTAACTCGGAAAAATCGATTCTTCTGATATATAACTCAGAGTAACAGGTTATTCCCATTCTTGTATTGTTTAATATTTGTATCCTTACAGTACGTTTACACCAAAGCAGTTGATAATTAACTTTAGAAATTCAATGAGGTTATCTTAAAATAACACGTGTATTAGAGATGGGTATTAACAAATACGTAAATGCACATAACAGTTATGGATTTGCTACTGTCCATCTTTAAATTCCAGTACAACACCGGAACTACCTTGAACTCTGGAGAAGTTATAACCGAATTTCAATTTTCGTTTAAGGACGACTCAGCCAAGTCCGACTTAGCTGAGTTATGTTTATAAATACGGGCCTAACTCATCATAAACGTGTTTCTTTTCTTTATAAAAGGCCAGTTGAGACTGAAAGGACGTGGATACCAAACAATCAACAAACATTTATTAATTTTATTTCGCAGCCAAATTGAAAAAGAAATTTCAAAAGCCAACAGCTGACCGAATGTGTGAAAACGTGAATATTCCCCATCCATAAGTAAGCCAAGCGCGCGCACAACATCTGACCGTAATTATTGGTTTTAGAGAGAGCGCATCATTGGTTGAGCTATCGAATGTCTTAGACAGAGACAAATTCCCGTTTCAACATAATATCTATATTTCCAAATACGAGGGGCACTCAAAAAGTATTAGAATATATTGGAATATTTGAACTAATTAAATATTGTAATTATTAAAAGGGAGTGACGATTACAACGTAACAAAACAATATGTGGTTTCAACAGGATGGTGCGACATGTCACACCGCCCGAGAAACAACGGTCTTATTGCAGACGAAATTCAGAGGAAGAATCCTATCGCGAAATGGTGATGTTAACTGGCCGCCAAGATCATGTGACCTAACGCCCCTCGATTTCTTTCTGTGAATAATGTTACCGATACTCAGTGGGACTATTATGTAAGTCACACTAAAAACATAATTGTTTCCGATTGGGAAAAATACAAACAATTAGATCTAGATATTATTAATTTAGGTACAACGGCAAGTACCGACGAGTCTGAATTAGAGTCAATTTGTGAAGAAAATGATATTGATTAAAAAAATTTATGAGTTATCCAATAAATATTTTCTGTGCCTCTTGTTATAATATACTTTTTTAACAAAGAATCTGTTTCACAGATTTGCACCTGTTTTGGATTTACTTTAAGGTAGTTCACTCGCGACAGTCGTACATAAAAATATCGCGTAATGGTGAATAGCAGAAGTTCGAGATTCTCAATGCTTATCAATTTTATTTTTGTTAGAGACTGTACAAAACACATGTATATCAACACATATGGACAAGTTATAATTTTAATAAATTTCATCTGGCAAACTTGCAAATATTGAAATGATATGGTATAGAAATTTGTGACTTCCTCATACTAATTTTAAGGGTTTGTTTTGGTTCAAACAGAACCGCTGATTCCAGTTCTCAAACACAGTGGACCAATTATTTTTTCAAGAACAAGTCCGAGTTTATAACAACCTCTTAGCTGATCGAGTGTTACTTTGATACGTGATATTGATACAATGTTGCCAAGTTGTAATAATTTTACGAAACTACTCAACTGCTTTAAAAATATTTTTATTTTAAAAATCTATCTTTTTAGTAAGACGGTCAAAAAATTCAGCGATTATCTATAAAATTTGATAACTTCTTGATTTATTTAACATTAGTTTTTAACAAATATGTTGAGAACCGTTTTCAAGATATCTTGAAATAAATGCATTGCTGGTTTACATGATAGGCTTCAAGAGTGTTAATTATGCACATTTTGATTGTTAATATCTCGTTTCACAGACGGTCAAAAAATCTAATTTTTTTTAGTTACGTAAACGACACTTTCTTAAACCTTATATTTAAATTTTATTGAATTCTTAAGAAAAGCCGTTTTACGAGTGAACTACCTTAAATACTCTAAAAAGGCTAAAAACCAATGTTTAGCTGGACAATTTATTTATTAAGTACGACGAAAGTAAACTGTTCTAGTATTTGTAGACAAAATGTAAAACTTAATCAAATTTTTTTCAAAGTGACTTCTTGTATTTGTGTAAACGCACCTTAATAAAGTTAACGCTGCTAAACAACAACAAAGCGCAACTGAAATAAGAAGATACGTACAAATTGTAACTAAAAATACGATAATCTTTTGTCAGAGGACTTGGGGTATTTTTATCACTTTATCTCAATTATAAAAAGAATGAAGCTGTTCTTCATTTTTTCCCTTTTTTTACAATTAAAATCAAGAATAAAAGTCTATATGGTGAAAGTTCCGCAAACATAAATAAACCTTCCGCTGAATTGTAAATAATACTTTATTTGTTGTTTTCTGAAGTATAATTCAATTATAACTTTATATAAAAAATGAGAATGAATGAACGGCTGCTACTTTGCGCGTTGACTCGTGTACCGAATATGAAGATAAAACAATCTGAGCCTCTGTTAACATTTAAAATTAATTAAACGTTCAATCATCGTTGTACATAAAATTAAAATATAGAAGAACCAACTGGAAAAAGGATTTAAAGATTTGTGAAATTTTACCAGAAATTATTAATTAATTTAATAGCCTATAGCACAAATTCTCTGTAAAAATCAGAGAAAAAGTAGAGTTGGACGATGTTGTTATTTTCAATCACTCTGAATCGTTGCATTAAATATTTTATTATACACTACCTTCTTCTAAAATGATACGTGTTCGAGAAAATGTGCTATATTCGAATTTTTAAGAACGTTGATTAAATAAAAGTTGTTTGTGATGTGATTCCCTGTAATCCTTGTTTTATAAATGATTTTCCTAAAATGGACTGCATTCGAGATATTTGAGAAAATGTGCAAATTTCGAAACGATTCTGCGCGGTAAGCTATTTAAAATTTGGACGTTGTCGAAGCATCTGGGGCGGTATTTTATAGGGTGTCATTTTTTTACAATAAGGAATATAGAGAAGAAAATTCTTTAAATAAAAGTTTTTTGCGATATCATTCTCTGTAATTTATATAATTAATTAAATTGATCCTACACAAATTTCATAGGAACATGGATTACCTTATGAAAATAAACTTATTAACACAGTTGTTTTCATATATCAAAATCCTTCTTGATTTAACTAACTAATTATTTTCTCAATTAGGAGTTTTGTAAAATATGGCATTTTCTTATATTTCAACTTTATATAACTTTTTACTCTCCCTGTATGTGATATCCTAAGTATATATAGTAATTATTTTTTCGTGTAAAGGTACAGTTACATCTGACATTTATTGCATGATATTTATGTCTGACAGTTGTTTATTCCACTGTAAACACTCAAAAATATATGTCCGAGAGAAATTGTTGTGTGTTTACACTGGACTAAATAACTGTCAGACATAAATATCATGCAATAAATGTCAGATGTAACTGTACCTTAAGGCATACGACTAGTATATAAGTAAATAAAATGGCAACAGGACAACCGCCAGTCGTCGACTAGAATTAGAAGATATAATGGTGGAATATTAGCCGAACCGAATGTCAATCACAAAGCCAGAGAGCATAACGATAGCGGGGGTATCGTAGTTGCCACATGTTGGCTGTGCTATGCCTAATACAAAATAATAAGTACTGTATTTTTGTTGATGTGATGTTGTACTCGTAGACATTACAATATACAGGGATATTATATAATGGCAATACTCTTTGGAACTAACTTTTGACTCACCCCGTATTCGTTAAAGATACCACCTATTGGTAATGTACAATACGAAAACTTTTAAGTGCGAGAAGAGATATGGTATGTGGAATAAGCAAGGAAAAGTTTACTCGGACTTCGCCGGCGACCCTTTCCTGCTATGGTATCTGTAAACGACAATTTCATATGCCTTGCTGTAATGTACCAGTTGATGTTACAAAATATTTAGGTAAGATTCCTGGTCTTGGTTGGTATTGCGTTGATTGTTATGCAGCCCTAAAATCATGTAATCCTGAGTTTGTCAAAAATTTAGCTGAGGAAGGAGTAGGAAATGTCATAAAAGAGATTTCATCACTGGCAAAAAAACTAACTAAAGATATTGCCAAAAACCTAACAGAATTAGTCTCAAAGAGATTAGAAGACTTACAAGAAGATCTAAGGAAGAAAATATCAATGGCTGCTGTTCAAAAAATTACTGAAATTAACGTGAATCGTAGTGTATGCTCTAATACTACTACAACCTCTGTATCCAATACCGGAAATAATAATTTGTTCTCCACAAAACTTAAAAGCAGCTCTGCACTCATAATCAAGCCGAAAGATTCCTCTCAAAATAATTCTGTCAACAAAGCAGATATTTTAAATGCGATGGATCCGGTAGGCTCCAATATTCAGATCTCCAGTGTTAAGAATATTAGAGATGGGGGATTAGTTAATGCTCTTCTAAATCTGGAGTTTCCAAATTAAAAAATCTTACTGGTTCTAATCTAATCGAAAAATATGAAATCAAGGATGTGGTTGGAATAAAACCAAAAATAAGAGTTGTAGGAATGTCAGCTGAATTAGATAGTGGAAAAATTGAACATTATGTCTTAAATCAAAATAAATCTGTATTTTGTTCTAATTCTATTGAATGTAAAGTTTTAGATCTTGCACTAAGAAGAATAGAAAAATTTATCAAGCAACTTTGCAGGTTGATGTTGCATCATGTAATATCATAATAAATGGTGAAGGTAAGCTATTTATTGGCTTTGATGTTTGCTCTGTTTATGATTGTGTATCTGTTAAGAAGTGTTATAAATGTAATGGTTTTAATCATTTTTCAAAAAATTGTCTTAGTAGTACTATTTTTTGTCCAAGGTGTGCAGAAAAACTTGCTGTAAAAGAATGTAAAGCTTCAGTTGATGAATTAAAATGTATAAATTGTGTAAAGGTGATGGAACGGGTTTCTTTGGTTTAAATTAATGTAAATCATGCCGCATGGGACACTCATTGTAATTCTTACCAACGTTATATAGATGAATTAAAATCCTCACTTTATGTAGCATAGCAATCGTAAATGAGTCGGATGTATTAAACATTGGTGGTACAGCTCTACACCCGCAAAATAATTCATTTAATAATTCTAATAAAAACTTGACCTGCTATCTATATTATCAGCATGTTCGTGGAATTATAACTAAAATAAACACCGTTTACTTGTTTTCTCTTCAGTCCGATTTTGATTTTGTAACATTGACAGAGACTTGGTTAAACGAATCTTTTCGTAGCTGTGGGATATTTTCCGATAATTATCATGTTTATAAAGAGGATAGATCTACTTCTCGAGTTAAATTAAATTACGGTGGGAGTGTTTTACTAGCTGTCAATAAAAAATGTATTAATAATTAAATAGATCTAACATTTATTAGCGATAATATTCCAATTATTGATATTCTAGGCAATATGATTACATTAAATTATCACAAAATATTAATACTACTTATTTACATTCCTCCAAGTCTTAAAGTTATTGATTATGAAGCCTTATTTGATTGTCTATCTACCTTACATTTTGTTGATTACGAAAAAGTATTTGTTTTAGGAGACTTTAACGTTCCCTAGTATGTTAATATGGCACCTCTCACTGGCCAACTAGTTGAATTAAATGCTTTCGTACATCTTCACGATTTCAAACAATATAATATTATATTTAACATAAACAATCGATTATTAGACTTAGTTTTTTGTAATGAATCATGCACTGTTGAAAGGGTATATGATTTGATGGTTCCTGAAGGTGTCTCGCATCCTGCTTTGAATATTAATTTTCAAATATCTTATCCTCGTAGTAAACCTAATCCAGTAAATAAAAATTTACAGTATAACTTTCGTGAAGCTAATTATATGATGTTATATCAAATAATAGCTTCATGTGACTGGTTTTTTTCTCAATAATGTGGATAATATTGAAACTGCATGTAAGTTATTTTATGAACAACTATATGGTATGATGGATATATGTATTCCCAAATATGTTCCAACTGCAAGAAAATACCCTACATGGTTCAACGGACCTATTGTTACAGATATTAAAAAAAAGAAAAAGTACGAAAAAAGTTTAGACACAATTATGATTTAAATGTCTTCGAAGAATTTAAACGGCTAAGATCCAAAATTAAAAAGGACATAGAGAAACCAAATAAAGACTACGTTAGAACATTACATGAGAATATAGAAGGAAATAGTGGAAACTTTTGGTCATACGTAAATTCTAAAAGGACAAGGTGGAACACCTGAATTTATAACTTATGATGATTCAAATCTTTCAAACATGCAGGATATTGTAAATGGATTTCCTACTTACTTTAAAAATTCCTACAGTAATTCATCAACTTTTGATGTTGACTTTGAAAGTAGGGATTTATCAAATAATTTACATGAATTTAAATCGTGTGTCGAAGGCAATATTAAAATTAAAATCTACATTTACTAAGGGATCAGATAATATACCATCCTTCATGGTTCACGATTGTTCCCATTCATTAGCTATTCCTTTAAATAAAATATTTAATTTTTCACTGGTACATTTCCTAATGCATGGAAGAGGTTAAGAATCTGTCCTGTTTTTAAAAATTGTATTGAGAACTATCGACCCATTACTATTATATGTAATTTTGCCAAAGTTTTTGAAATTTTACTACTCAATAATATAATATCACACGTCAAACATCAGATAGTAGAAGAACAACATGTAAGAACAGGTCAACAATAACAAATATTTTCTCATTTACACAATACAGTTCTACAATAGTTGATAGCGGCGGTCAACTAGACGTAATACCTATATACAGATTTTTCCAAGGCTTTCGACAAACTCGATCATAAAATATTACTTTAAAAGCTTAGCAAGCCTGTCATACATTTTTTTCAACCTTACTTCCCAAAAAGAACCCAGTTTGTTGAAGTGCGTAGATTTGAGTCTATCGATATCTTAGTAACCTCTGGCGTACCTCAAGGCTCGATTCTGGGACCGCTTTTATTTATAATATTTGTAAATGACATCATTAAAGACGTTAACGTAAAATATTAAATTTATGCAGACGATGTCAATTTTTTTTTCTGGTAGATATCTTAAATGATTGTCTTAAATTACAAAGTAGTATTAATAAAATAAATAATTGGTGTTAATTAAATAATCTTCCATTAAATTAAAAAAAAATATAATATAGTGTCATATACCAAAAAAGATTTTCCAATTCTCTATAATTACTGTTTGGATGGTGTTATATTAAATAGGCCTGATTTTGTAATAGATATTGGGGTAAAGTTTAAAAGAAAACTTACTTTTAATGAACATCTAAATGACGTGGTAAAAGCATCATTCAGAAATTTGGGATTTATCATTAGGCATGCAGTTGACCTCAATTCTATCGAAACCATGAATATGTTGTACAATGCGTTCGTCAAATCAAAATTAAAATATGCTTCATTAATATAGAAACCATTTTATGATATTCACATAAGCGCTCTTGAAAACGTTCAAAGACGATATCTAAAATTCTTGAAATTTAAGATAGACGGAACATATCCACCAATTGGGATAAATCACACGTTACTTTTAAATATATTTCAAATGCAAACCTTAGAATGTAGACGAAAAAATCAGTCGTTAATATTCCTCTATAAATTTACTAACTACCAAATTGATTGTTCCGAGTTATTAGAACAACTTGTATTTGAAGTGCCAAGAATTGAATCTCGAAACAACTTAATGTTTTATCTCCCGCTATCTCGGACAAATTTATTAAAAAACTCGCTGTATTTTATGTGTGAAACTGTAACAAACTGTAGGTAGAATTGATTTATTTTTATGTAAGCTTTCGCAGCTCAAAAAATTGTAAAGCTGTTTCGCTACTGTTTGCCTGTGTATAGTCATTAATTTATTTATTTTTTGTCATATTATGTAATTTTTGTTATATTGTGTAATTTTTGTTATATTGTGTAATTTATTTATATCCAAATTATGTCTTATTGTGCAATATTTTATATTTACTTTTGTAATTACAATTTTTTGTCCTGCTCAATAACAAGGCATTTAGCCTGTAGAGCAGTGTATTTAATAAATAAAATAAAATAAATAAACATTTATATAATTGAATATAAATAATCCATATAATAATTATTTTATGCAGTTTTTCTACTTTAATTTAAAAAATTACTGGCCCTACATGTATAGTTTTTTCAGAAGGTAGTCACAAATATGTTAGAGTGTCAAACCGTAACTTAACACGTTGACTGCCACGGCAGTTTTGAGACATTCGGCCTAAAATGATAATTTGATTTAATCACATTATTTTATTTCTTGAATTTGAACTAATTTTTATTATATTTTTTGATCGTTTTTTAATAAATTTTCTGTTCATGCAAGCCAGCATTGTCTTTTTGTTCTTTTCCCAGAAGCCATCTATCGATATTTTTCAAGTTTAATCCTAGCTACACAAAAATGGCAAGTAAACACAGAACGAGAATGCAATCTACGAGTTATCTCGTAGTTGGCAGTCAACGTGTTAAATAATTTATTAATATCAGCAAAATAACAACATTAACGTTTTTAAGTAAATTATGAGAACACACAAGTTCAACACCCTGTATCTAGTCATAGGAAAAATTTGTGTTCAGGGACTCTTTTAATTAGGAGGTCAAAAACTACAACATATATAAAATTCAGCAGATGTCATAAGGAAACTGCGATGTCCTTTGTAGCTTGAATTAAATAATAAATTTGTTGTTTGAAATGAAAGAAATAAATATTACTTTCTAACCTTAAGGTATGTTTAGATCAACGTTATTTGAAAATACAAATAAACCAACATTTTAAATATATACCCACTTTTTTGAATCTATTGAAACATAAAATTTATTTATATCAAATTTTGTTTCGTTCAAGTGAACCATTTTTCTTCAAAACTCGTTTAAAGTAATTTAATATTAATAAAATAAATATATGTACCCGTAAATCTCAAATATGCAAATTTCTTTAAAAATAAAAAAGTATGTACATACCTGCTTTGATCCAATCAAGACCCATTGCAATAAAGAACGAAAATCTGATGAAGGCAAACATTTTAGGGATTTCCACTTTATTAGTCGCCACAATTTTTCAATCACACGCTCGAGAGTTTACTGGACAGCACTTTTTCACTTAGTGGTAAACCTATAAAACAAAAATGTTTGTGAATAATTTAGCCTATACCTACTTAAGAGCTATACAGGGTAATATTTAAGAACAAATACTTGCGTCGGTAGAAAATATATGAAATGTATTATAATTTATTGTAAAATTTCGAGATACTAAAAAAAGACAGATTTGATGATGATGATGATAATAATAACACCAGCACACACAAAAAAAAGTTCTTTGTGCATTCGACCGGACCCACCGACGGACAATGTGGTTCGACCCACTGAATCCGAATTTCATGTCC